GTAAGGAACATCAAACAGTATCCATGTTTGTTTTTCATTCCTCTGTTCAATTCCCACAGTGTTGGCTACAGAGGAAACCAAAGGCCTGGCTGAGCAGGGGCAAGTCCTGGATGACGTTAGCCGAGTCCAATCTGCTGTGGACGACTTGCACCACAACGGGGCACTTGTCCTCTGTAACCCAGGAACCTCTAGTGTCCCGGACACTGAGTCTAAAAGCTCACAACAACTGCCAGAAGTTCACGTGCATGCAGAAGCTCCACAGGACAGCCTGAACTGTGACGACGTGAGTGGTGTTGCAGATCTGAAGGCTTGCAAGTGTGACAGTCTTTCAAAAGACATCACAGAGATTTCTAAAGCCAATACAAGCATGGGACATCTTGGTAAGATAGTTTAACTCCTTGTACTGTTTCCTTTCTCATCTTAGGGCCACATAGAACAGAGCCACGTGAAAAAATAACATTTGAATTCAATGTATGTTTTATATCAGTGGCATATAGTGGCATCAAAGAAGAATAATTCAGTATTATTTTTTTTATCAACGTTAATAATAGAAAGGTTGATGGAGATAAGACATCGAGCAGAACTGTGAAACACATTTCACTGCATTTTACATACATTTGCCATATTGCGATACATAAATATCAATACAAAAAACATACTTATTCATATTGTGATACGTATTCTAGTATATTAAGTATCTCTAGTATTTCAAAGTTTGTTGGTTTTTTTTGATAGGTCTGATTTCATGTGTAAAAAAAATCCTGTTTTACTGCTTTCTCCCATTGCAGACAGTCAAAATGCGTCTAAAACCTCCCCAGTCTGCAAATCATCACATCACAATGAGAGCCCTGTACCACACAGCCAGCGGCCAGTCTGCTTCCTGTCATTCATCTTTGTCATTCAGGGCCTTTTTGGTGCCCTTCTGGCTCTGACCAACAGCCTGGTGATGCTGCTGGTCGGCCCACAGTGCAAACAGAGCTCTGGAGCCTGTAGCCTCCTGGTTTACCTGGATCCCGGTCTCTCCCTGCTGGCTGTGATTACACTGATCACCATAGCTGTGCCACAGGTCAGGCTCTGTGTGTTTATGTCATTCCATTTAGTTTAAAGGATAGCTGAAGCTTTTATCAAGAGTTCAACCCAATAATTACAAGAAACCTAGAAAGGATCAGTTGTAGAAGATTTGAAAAATTAATTCTTTAGATTACAGCCCACAGGTTACCAATAAAGGTATGAATTAAATACTTATTGGGTACCTATAAGTACGTACAAGTGAAGAAGGTAAAACGGTTAGGCAAGAAGTGGGGACTAACTATTTGTTTAAATGACTGTAATCATTTTTTAATTCCCTATTTAATTATTGTGGGGTACAGTACCATCATTACTGTGTATCAAGGCAAGAACAGTTGAGTAACACTGATGCTATTGAAAGTGAAAATGGGAAAAAAAAAACTCAGGATTTGGGGAAATTGCATGTATAACTGCAATGTAAGAAGTTTTGAAATATGGAGTACTTAATTATGAATTTATTTCTAATGTTTTTAATGTGTTTCTGTACATTATTCTCATTGCTGGAAAACAAAACATTTGGCTTTGATTGGGAAGAAAGATGTGTCTTTATAGCTTTAACTACAAAATTGTTTACAGTTTTAAAGGTTGTTTTTCTGTTTAAAATTATTATTAAATGCTGGGCTGAAACATAAAGTGTTCCATTGTTCACCCAACTTTTCATGTAATTATAGTGTAGCTACACTGAAATGACATATTGACTAAGCCTGCTGGTACCTTGTTTTTACCTTGTTATTATTCAATATGCGCTGGGTAATTTTTAAAAAAGTACTTACAGTCCATTTTAGTCCAAGGTTCCCTCTAAATGCTAATTTCTCACCCACTTGTTTCCTGTACTCCTTCACTTGTACCAATAGGTAGCCGGTAAGTATTTGTTTATGTTGTTCGAATTTGCTGCAGCTGATTGTTGCCACTGTTTCACTGACACATCTCCCCTCCAGGTGCACAGGTATGGACTGCTGCTGCTGCAAGCAACACCTCCACACATTTATGTGTCTGATCTCGGACGCAGGATTGCTAGTGTTCCTGGAGTGCAGGCTGTGCACGACCTCCACGTCTGGCAGTTAACTGAATCATTCACTGTGGCCTCTGTCCATGTACACTGCCATGCTGGGTTTCCAACACACAGGTGAACTGGAAAAGTTTGACAATCAATATATTATTTAGATTTTAATGTTGTTCTATGCTAGAGCCCCAATTTCAGATTTCATTTCAATGGTAGATGGACTGCATTTATATAACAGTTTTCAACCTGTGTAGTACGTTACAAAGCATCTCAAATTCACAAATCACTGCTGGTTTTATATTGTTTTGATTTAAATCTGCAATGATGCTTTTTTATAAACTCATTATAACATTATAAGCCAGTTCACATTGGGCGACAAGTGTGGTCCAACCTGGTCCCTGGACAGGTCGCCAGGCTATCACAGGGCTGATACATACAGACAGATAATCATACTAACATTCATATCTATGGGCATTTTTGAGCTTTTAGGGGCGGTTACTGACTGTTAATCATGTTCTGGTTTTGGTCCAGATTGAAAACAATGTATTTTGTTAATGCAGAATCATTTCACAGGTGTGCTGATCTGATGTTGGGGGTCACTAAGGTGCTGCAGAGTGTAGGAGTGAGCTGCTGCACTGTACAGCCAGAGTTTGCTTCAGGCTCTGGGTGCTCTGCAGTCAGTCGGGGGGACGCCTCCCCTGTTGTCAACAGAGAAGACCCCTCCCTGCCACTGTACCTACCCTGCAGCCTCAGCTGTGGGAAGACCTGTGCTGGGAACATGTGCTGCTCTCCCCCAGAAGAGGAGACCAGGAGTCTGGTGGCACCACCAGCTGGAGAAACAAAGGAAGAGCCTCAGACACTCATCATAGAGAACACCTTCCTCTGACTGTCAGTTTTAACCAACGAATTACACTTTAGGAAAATAAAACAAAACACCGTATGCATATTATTAGGAAGTGTTTTGTTCATTTTATGACATTAACAAGGTGCTATACCAAAGATTTTTATCTAATGTCAAGTGAAAGTCTGTAAAAATAAATCTAGTGCTGCTTCATTTGTATCTGGAATTTTTGTATTGTCTCTCATGTATGATGCTAAAATATAATAATTAATAATATTTAAGTGTCTCTCTTCTCATTTTATGATAATAGTATAAACTTTTTTGATCCCACACAGTGAAATAGAAGTGTCACAACAGCAAAACAACAAAATTGATTTGTGATTTAATACTCTTTACAGCTGCAGTAACTAGTTACTTTACCAAGTCAGATTTTACATACAAAACATATGAAGACTTATGAAGTGTGATGCATTGTTATAGATTGAAATTGCCAATAGTATATAAAATTAATGCTGAAATGACAAGTCAATTAATCAATAGTCAATTCATCAGAGAATTAAAAACTATTTTAAGAAATGATTCATTGTTTAAGCAATTTCTTCATGCAGAAACTTGAAACATTTATTGGTGTCAGTTTCTAAGAAGTGAGCAGTCATTGATTTTCCTTGTAAGTTACATTAGCATACACAGGATAATTTGGAGGGTTTTTTCTCCAAGAAAAGCAATTTGAAGGTGTCACTTTAGCTCTTGCTCATTTACCTGATTAAATTTTACTTAATTTAAAGTAGTATTAGTATTTTTTACAGTGAGGTATTGGCACTTTAACTTAAGTAAAGGATCTGGATACTACTTCCACCACTGGGTGTAGCTAAAAACAACAATGACAGCTTCAACATGAACAATAACTGGTACATTTAATTGGGATATAGAAGGTATTAATGGAATCAGTTACACCTTGGCCTTTCCCATCCATGACATACCAATCTGGATTTGTGTTTAGTTGTAATCCTGAACATATCGCTTACCTGAGATGACGCGGTCTGTTTCCACCTTTTTATTTCCACACAGCCAATCAAAATGCGTCAGCTTTGCATAAAACAACACAGACTCAACTGCTTACCCCTCTTTTTGTATTTATCCGACATAAATTTAGCTTTAGAGTATCCAGCATGTGTACACAATGTGTACGCATGATATTTGATAAATGAATACAAACTAATGGCAGTCATCTATTGTAACACCCTGACTAAAACATCTGTCGCTGGCCTGAGTTATAAATAAACCTGAATGCTCTGCTTACAAGTGCCCGGATGAGCCTCGGTGGTCCGGGGTGCAGGCTTCAAACCTGTAGCTGCTTAGCGGCAGAGTGGTTCAATTCCACCTTTCGGGCGACAAGAAAATGTCGTGTGTTAAGATTATTAGGCTATGAACGACTCTCAGTGGAAAATTATATGTTTCATCTTGTAGCCTCTATGTACCCACGATAATAGTGTGAACACTCTCGTACACGGCGTGTGTTTCAATGACATTTAGATATTGTTCCCACACTGTCAGAATGACTCGTGTCATTTTCTTTTTAGTTTAACTATTACAACTGTCAAAAATCTCCTCACTACATCACGAGTCTACTTCCTGTCAAGCTTTGTCCTTGCACTTCACAATAAGCGTTCGAGTCATTAAACTGAATACTGTAAACTCTTTATTGTTTCTATCTATTTTATTTTAATTTTTAATCAAGGTACTTATCGTATTACATAGTGAAATTAGAATAACACCAAAAAAACAAACAAAAAGTGTATGTAAAATATGTAAACTTGAATGTTTAGTTGTGATGTATTTTGTCAGAGAATAGCTGATTATTATTATTAATTTAATGGCAATGAAAATAAAATCATACATACAATAAATGGTGAACAAATAAATTATACATAAAAATACATTTTAATTCTTCGACCTGTGGTCTGTAAATCTACATCCGGTATACCCGGAATAGAAAAAGAAAACTATTGATTGGCAACCGTGTGACCCAATCATCTGTGAGAATTTCCTGTCCGACATCGAATCATGTCCGTCGGTGTAGGCAGGCCGATCAATGTAGGCAGAAGTCGTGTGTACCGGAGATTCATGTCCTTGCTTGTTTGATTTTTCCATAACGTGGGTTAAAAACTCACTTGGTATTCGGTGTAGGTCACTGTTTTCTTATCAGTCGGTAAGACAGACTTTTGAATTTGTTGTTATCGTTATATCAGACTCGTAGAGGCCCTGTTTGGCCAAACAAAGTGATTTTATCGTCGTTGTTTGTCTGTGTCAGTCAGCGTCCTGCTAACGAGAGACGTTAGGAAAGTTATTCATTTGTGCTTGTGAGTGTCTGTATATCAATATAAATTAATTTAAGACAAACTGTACTAGGTAACCACCAGCCAGAAACTAGTAATCTGTATCTAATGGATTTATTTCAAAGTAATGCCACAACTTTGCTGGCAGGTATAGTTTCAAAAATAGTTTAACCACGTTTTAAATTGCTTATCAATTTAGTTAGTGTAACTGCACGTAACCAACGTTTCGATTTGTTTTTTCTTGTTTGTTTACATTTGAAAAGACTGTAAGTATAGTGGGTTTTTTTATGTAGACCAGGTTTAATGTGGTCCGCAAGTGGGAGAAAAGTGGAAGAGCTATTCCACTTGCAGACAAAGCATGAAGGAAGAAGAAAAGATTTGGCTCTCGAGCAAAGTTTTGATGTGCAGCAAACCTCTTAATTTCTGTTTTTATCTTTTGCATTGCCTGCATTTAAACATCACCCAACTCGTGTTTACAACAGTTTTGTCAAAAAGTGATTATGAATCGTTTTCTTGTTCTGTCTTCCAGATTTGACTTTAAAACACAGTCCATCATGCCTCTTCTTAAACAGTCCCCCAAATTCTGGGAAGCCCTGAAACTGAAGCAAGGCATCTATGCTCGTCTCCCTAAACACTACCTCACATCCCTCGAGAAGAAAGAGCCCACCCCTGTCCACTGGAGACCCCTGGGAGTCCAGTACCGAGCCAACCCAAAGACTGGGCACAAGGAACGGGTTCAGGATGTCCCTATTCCCATCTATTACCCTCCACATTCCCAGGACGGCCTGTGGGGTGGAGAGGGCTGGATAACTGGCTACAGATACGCCAACAATGACAAAGTGAGATTTAACACTTTTTTTGTAATATATGATAGTACACTTAATGTCTATGGGTTTGGACTGTTTGTCCTATAAAACAAGACATTTGGGCTGGGGTAAATTAAAATGGGCATTTTTTCTATCTTCTGACAATTTATAGAACAAATTATTAGTCAAGAAAATAATCTTCAGTTTTATCAACATTGAAAAGAATGGTTACACCATCTCATTGAATTGAATTCTCCGAAATGTCTCTTCATGTAGCTGTCCAATCGCATGAGGAAGACCTGGAAACCACAGGTGTTAAAACGAGAGCTGTACAGCGAAATCCTTGATCATAAGTTCACCATCCCTGTCACAGCCCGCACTCTGGACCTCATTGATGCTCTCTATGGCTTCGACTTTTACATTCTCAAAGTAAGCGAACACTACCTCTATGAACAAAGTGGCATTTACCATTGGGCTTTTTATATGACTCTAATGTCCAACTCCTATTAGACATCAAAGGAAGACCTGAACTCCAAGCTAGGGATGGACCTCAAGAGGGCCATGCTGCTTCGATTGGCACGCAAAGACACAGAGCTTTACCCCAATGACCCTGTCAAGAGAGAGAAGGTGTACAACAAATACAAGGTAGAAATGCAATCACATGAGATTGATTCCAAATGTATTGAGTGGCTTCAGGCACAACAGTTACAACTAACCTTGACATTTTATAATTAGTGCAGAAGAGATGGAGCTGCAATTTAAAAAAAAAAAAAAAAAAACGTATGCGTTTGTCTTTCTGTCTGAGCAGCAGTTTGAGATCCCAGAGGAGGAAGCAGAGTGGGTGGGTCTGAGTCTGGAGGAGGCTGTGGAGAAACAGAGGCAGCTGGAGCACAAGGTAACAGTCCTCTTACACAACTGCCTGGATCTCATGTCAACAGTTAGCATTAGCATGTAGAGCTAATGCTCCCCTGTTGCAGGCTGCCAGATTTATACAAAACATACATATAGGAAACGTAGGGTGCAAATATCTTCTGTTTTCCTTGAGATACTTTCATCACAGATCAGAGACATACAGTCTATTTGGCTAATTTTCAGACTCTAGGTTCATCCCAATTGACTTATTTGGTCATTCTTTGTTCCTTCATCTTTACTTGACCAAAAAATCTATTTGACCCCTGAGAGATCCTAAAATTCATGACAGGCTGAAATGCTTTATTTTGTACGTTGTTTGTCCTGTGTGTTCTGACACTGTTTTTTCTGACTCGTGTCATCTAGGAGCCTGAACCCCTGTTTAAAGCCTGTGTTGACAAGCTGGCGGAGGAGCTGCGCCTCCAAAAACTCTCAGAGCCACACATCACAGAGAAGGAGTGACAACCACAAACCATCTGAGCGGGACAGATGCAGCTTTTCAGACTGAAAAATTAAGTAGGTTGAACTATCAAGCTTCTCCAGGTGGTGGTGGGATTTTGATTCACCAATTTTCTGCTCCTGAAACATTTTCAGCAATGAGTGCAAACCTTGGAGAACTTCCTGAAGTTTCAACTTACCTTTCCATCTGGGAGTGACACAAAGGACAAGGTTGTGTTGGACTAATGCGTATTTATTTCAGTTCTCTTTTTCCTGTTTGCATTTCAGACCCATGCAAGAGACATTTAGGAATTAAGGCAAAAGCCTCCATTAGTGTAAACACAGCTGAGATATAAGGCCCTTGTATGGGATATCTAAAAATAAAATAAAAAACCCTGTTTTCTTAAACCTTGTTTCTGCTCATCTGTTCTCCAATAATTATTAAATCAACTTAATTATATAATTGATTCGTTCACTGCATGATGTGAGATGTAAGCAAAAACAGCTTTAAGGAACAGTTTGACATTTTGGGTAATATGCTTATTCACTCTGATGTTTGCATGGTAAATATGTAGCTGGAGCCAGCAGCTTGTTAGCTTAGCGTAGTTTAGTATAAAGACGATAAATAGGGCGACAGAGCAGTTTAATCTATAGAAATTTTAAAAATGTAAGGATTTCTACTACTTTTAGTCTTTTGTGATAGTAAAATGAAAGTCTCTGAATTTTGGACTGTTTGATGACATCCCCTTAGCTTTGGGAAACTTTGATTTATTTACTCTTGTATTTTACAGACCAATCGATTAATGAAGAAAATAATTAACAGATTAATCGATAATGAAAATATTCAGTTGCAAGCCTAGATCAAACTATCCAAAAGTATTTAAAGTGGTTAAAATGAGCTCCTTATTGAATGGCTACAATAACAATGAATGTTGCTTTTATGTTAACACCTCAGCAATAGTAATAAGATTATACAGGATGCAATAATGCAATAAGCTGTAATAGATAACGAGATAGATACTTTATTTATCCCCTAGGGGAAATTCATGTGTCCATTAATACTGCATAATGAGTATTTTTACTTTTGATACTTAAATTAAAAGTTTTGTGGCATTAGTATTTTCCATCAGCTCTTAGCAACAAGAGAATGAGAGTATTTCCCAGGATGTCAAACTCAGTACTAGCTGAATATGCGTTTTACTACCTTTATGGGGATGTGAAACCAGGGCTTTTTATTCCTGTGTTTGCCCATTAGATGGAGCCAAAATGCTTAAAATGAAAAGAACATAAAGTCGCCATTTGCGAGTGGAGAGATGATAGAGCCATCTGTGTCTCTATTCAAATCAAGTTACAACTAATGAACTTCAGAAATTAATCAGGCTCATCTATAAAAGCCCTGATGCCATATGTTAACCTCCAAACAGCAGTTAAATGTGTTATATCACTGTAATCTTTGAAACTATTGTTTATTTCTCAGCATTTCCTGGTCAGAGACATTGGGTAGTACTACTATCAAAACAAACAGTGTCGTAATAAACCACACATCTGCCCTAATGCAGCAAAGACCCTTATATGGTGCTTGAGTTGACAAATGGAAAAAAAGACAAAAAATAAGGTTATGAAAACATAAAAAAAACGTTTCTTCCCTAGTTTCGCTTTCAGCACTTCTGGCCTGATCTGTGTCAGTTATATTGGTGTTTTGTCACTCTGTGGTTGTAGCATACTATTATGGTAAGATGGGGAGTCCCTACTGGGGACTCCCGTGGGTGTTGTAACCTCGGCAACAGAGAAAAAAATTATACTTGGCACCTGTAAACAGAAAAATTCACTCCTCATATATATACAGCTGCAGTCTGGAATTACCCTTTCATATTGTGCACATGATCAAAGTTGTCCATATTAACAAAACAAACTCCGAAACTGACACACCAAGTGCCAAATTTGGTCTTTTTCTTTTTTTCTCCTTTTTTGGCAGACAGATCACAGAGGAACATCTGGCTGGTTCATCCTCAGCCCACTGAGCTAAATGAAACACTGTACATTTAAAAAAAAAAAAAAAAAGTAGATTTTTAGCACTCGCAGCCCCATTCCACCACTTTGGTCCAGATTGAAATGTTTTAACAATTATTGGATGGATTGAAATGGAAAGATGAAATCTGGCACAGACATTCATGTTTTCCAGAGGAAAACTCTAATGACTTTGGTGATCCTTGACTTTTTCTCTGCGCTACCATGAGGTTCACATTTGTTGTTTTGAGTGAAATATCTCAAAAACTTTTGGATGGATTGCCATTAAACTTGGTATAGTCATTCATTGTCAGTCATGTTCCCCTCTGTGATTCATTGTAACGATTGTCTTAACTTTTCATCTAGCATCATCACCAGGTCAACATTTCAGTTCATCCAGTACTTTTTGGTTTGTGACCAAATAACTTCAAAATCAATTAGCTTTACTTTGTGTTTAGTGTTAATTAGCAAATGTTAACATGGTAACATGCCAAACTAACACGTTGACAATGGAAAACAAAACACCTAGCCTACTTCACATCAGCACGTTAGCAGAGTCATTTTGAGCCACTAACATGGCCGCAGACTCTCTTGTTTCTAAAAACTCATTGGTGGCATTTGTTAACCTTTATGCAGCAAAATAAATTTGTCTTCAGTTTCTTAATTTGGTCTTAGAAATGTCCTCAGAAAATATTAAAGGTCTTGCAGACTGTGCAGACACCTTGATGACTGTCATCATGTTTGCTGGGTAGATTCAGAGAGATTTATTGTATTTGTAAGGATAAAATACAACTTATATCAGAAAAAAGGTAATATCGTTATATAAATGTGTTAATCATTAGAGATTCCGCCATACATTTTAAACCATACTATCCGTACTTCTAGTATGCCTGCTTTATGGCAGTATTGGATTTATACATGATTTTTCACAAAGGTGAAGGAGTACCTTGATTCATCACATATTTAATTTGTTTGATCACAAAAAGTCAATTCTTGTCTGGTTAACTTTATATATTGCAATACATATTAATCTTGCAATAGTGAATTACATGCCATGATCAAAATTGAAGCCATATCCCCTACTCCTATAGGACAGTGTGGCACCAGGCTGTCATTTCCTGAAATGTGACTGATTTATCATTAAGGGCTTTTTAAACCCATGTGATCACCAACAGAGTGGGTGTGATTCCAGTGAAAGATCCGGGTTTCATGGAGAGCAGGAATGACTTCATCTGAGTGATGTAACTGAACACTAAATCTCCCCTTCACAAGGGCATGAGTTCAGTTGAGGTTAGGCATCGTACAAGCTCCCTGATTAAGTGTCTCCGTATCATCATTTCTATATTTGATCGTTTCCACCACACGACTCATCCTGTGAGCTCAGTATTCCCCAGAGTCTCCACAAACCAACAGACACCAAAGTTTTAATCAAACCACGACAGGTTCAGACCTACAGTCTGAAACCAGTATTTAATTGTGTTGGGAAAAGAAATAACATAGTCATAATTACTCAATCAGCAAATCATAAATGGTTTCATCTTCTCAAGTCTGAGGAGTTGCTGCTTTTCTCTGTTTTATATCTTAAAAATAAGACTTTTGCAGATGTCTCTCACATCTCATAACCCAAACAGTTAGACAAGAAAATGTACAAATTGTAACAGCCTGCAGCTGGTTAGCTGAGCTTAGCATAAAGACCAGAGACGAGGTGAAACAGCCAGCCCAGTTAGCTTAGCTTAGCATAAAGACTGGAAATTAGGCAAACAGGTAGTCTGGCTAGATTTGTTTGCATGTAGAATGGAACCAGGGTCAAACAGCAATCCTGGTTAGCTTTACATAAAGACCAGAAAAAGGTGTCAAACTGATAGCCCATTTAGCTTACTGGTTAGAGTAGTGTATAAAAAAGACTGGAAACAGCTAGCCCAGTTGTCTTAACTTAGCATCACGACTAGAAAGGGTGAAACAGCTAGTCCGCGAAACTTACCTTCACATAAATGAATGGATGAACGGATGAAACGGCTAGCATGGTTAGTGTAGCACAGTAAAAAAGGCCAGAAAATCAACCAAGCAGAAAGCCCTATTATGTTAGCTCACCATAAAACAGCTAGTCTAGCTTTATGGGCACAAAAACACAGTGGCAAAGTAAAGTGTTAATTAGTGAGTTGTAGAGGAGGTGGTTGGCAGATTTTGTTATCTTTGGACAGTATAGGCTAATCTCTCACTTAACTCAACTTCTTTTAGAAGTTAAATAAGTCAATTTCAGCCTTGGTGCAGTAACATTCATAAAAACCCCCCAAAAAAACACACTTGATAAGTCTTTATTAAACCACCATTTTTATGCCAATAAAGGCATTGACCATGTATTAAAACTGATAATGTGGACCATGTCCAGACGAGTCTTAGCAGCAGGGTGTGATGGTACCATTTCCCAGGAAATAGTGTGTGTGTGTGTGTGTGTGTGTGTGTGTGTGTGTCTGTCTGTGTGTGTACTAGATCAAAGGCCTTGGAAACGAGCCCAGTTTGGACTTTCCAAGTGACTGTAAGCTGCCGTCTGTGGTCAGGTCAAATCAACAGTGACAGACAGAGTCAGAAAAGGTAACACCTTCCACAGACGTCTCCTACAACTCCACTAACTGCCATCTGCAAAAGTTCTCTGATGACTCCACCATTGTTGGCCGACCCAGGACTTTGTGGATTGGTGCCAGCGGAACCGCCTCCAGATCAACACTAGGAAGACCAAGGAGCTGGTGGTGGACTTCCGGACTCAAACCGGTGAACATCCAAGGAATGGACATTGAGATAGTGGACTCTTACCAGATACCTGGGTGTTCACCTGAACAATAAACTGGACTGGACTCACAACATAGTGTACTCTACAAAAAAGAACAGAGCAGACTGTATCTGCTATGGAGAGTCAGGTCTTTTGGAGTGCAGGGGGTGCTCCTGAGGACCTTTTATGACTCTTCTACGGTATGGTCTGCTGGGGCAGCAGCATCTCCACTGCTGACAGGAAGAGACAGAACAAGCTGATCAGGAAGGCCAGCTCTGTCCTGGGATGCCCCCTCGACCCAGTGGAGAAAGTGGGTGACAGGAGGATGATGGCCAAGCATCATCCCTATTGGAAAACATCTCCCACCCCATGAAGGACACTCTGATAGCACTGTGCAGCTCATTCAGCGACAGGCTGCTGCACCCAGCATTGTGGGTAGGAGAGTTACCGCAGGTCTTTTCTTCCTGCTCCTGTCAGACTGTACAAGAAACATCGCACACAGTAGACCTTACACATACACACATAGACTGACAAATAACCATATGTAATAATTTAACTTACCAGCTGTGCAGTATCACTTATTTGGTACTATTGTCTTTTCCTGTTTTGTTATATTTATTGTCTAATTGTAAAT